ATCTTGAAATGCCATTGGTAATTCACTGATTTTCATAAGTCCTATATATATAGAGATTAAATATTCCAAATGTTTGATTATCACTTTTATATCAAACATGATTTTAAAATATTTTTCTCGAACATAGGCTACACCATTTTCGATAGTCTATCTATAGTAAAATTAGAGTCCCGATTGGTTGTACTCTCGCAGATAACCAAAAGTAGTCAAAAACAGGAAAGTTAGTATCCTTAAAAAAAAATTTGAGTTAATGGTCTACTGATAGCCATTTTCATGCAAATTTTACTGAAAACAAGGCATCTCCGAAAAGCAAAGAGATTTTCACTTGATATCTTCAACGAAAACAAACATATCTTGAGATATTCAATTGCTGTATTCGTTTATAGTCAGTAACATGGCCAAGATTTTAGCCCAGGAGGTCTGAGCCCCACCTAACGAAATTTTTGATACATGTATTTTATCCGTTAGAGGAGAGGGAACTAAACCCGTTCTAACAAATAAAATACACGTATCAAAAATTTTGCTAGGGAGAGAGGCTGAGCCCCCCCTTGGCTACGACACTGTTTATAATAAACCGCAATTTCATTGCAAATTAAATTTCTCAAAAAAGATTCTTTATTTTTGAGTTTTTCAAAAATACTTTTTAGTCTCATAGATACGTATCTATCGATAGTCATAATATTATAATTCTCTATCTCGATTACATTTGAATTATTTCGAAAATTTTAATATTTTATTAAATATTTACCATGTCTTGCAAGACCATTTGTTTGTTCTGATGCAATTAATTGTGCTAATAATTCTGCTAAATATTGTGGATCAAGAAAATAATAATTTGATAATAATGTATCTTCAAAATGTACAATTATACCTGAAAAAAAAACAAATAAAAATTTTTAATAAGAAAATTATCTAATTATTTCTATTTAATGTACCATTTTCATGTAACCATTTTGTTGCTTGTTGAAGTTCAATATAATCACGAAATTGAATATGATTTTTTTGTTGAGATATTTCTTTAATTAATTCTCTAAGAAAGAAACAAATATTTTTCTTTTTTTTTTTAAATATGCAAAAAATTCTTACTGATATTCTTTATCATTTAACATTGATATTTTTTTATTTAATCGATATTCTTCAAGTGCGTCTTCTAAATAAATATATTTAGCTGGTATTCTTTGTTGAAATATATTTTGATCTTTAATATTTGGTACTAATAATTGTCCACTAATATCATATATTAATGTACAAAGTTGTTTTATATTATAACCTGTTTTACTACTTATTTCAATTGATTCAAGAACTTTTGGATAACCTAATTTTTCACTTTGAGATGTATCAATAAAACGTTTATAAATAATTGATTGAAAATTTTCTGATAATTGACGATAATTTTTTAATTTAACTATTTGATCATGATGTGTACCAATAAGTATAACAGATGAACCAGGTGCAACTGTCTAATAAATCATAAAAAAAACAAAGTATGATTTAGGAAAATTTTAGTAGATTCGTATTATTATATTTTTTGTTCTATTCGATCATGTAAATTAACATGATTATATTTTGCAATAGATGATATTGAGTGTGTATATTCTCTATTCATTTTATATCGCATATAAATTTTGGTTATATATGTTTGTAAAATTTTTTTTTTTATTCTATAAAATCTTTTCAAATAGAGTTAATTATAGGATTTTTTTTCTCTGTCTCTCTCTTTCCCTTTTCTTCAATATAATCTACATAATGGTTGAAATTATTTTTATTAAAGAAGACGACATATACTGTTGCAAATTTGTCGTTTTCTTTTTTTTTCTTCTTTTCTTACGTATTCTTCACTATTGATAAAACCACACACAAAGAAAGAGAAGGAACACTGCAATGATCATATAAAAAAAAAAAACGAGAGTTCGTCGTATTATTGACATAGTTTTTGTGGCATTTGAATTCTACTGTACTTTATATTCAATACACGATCAAAAGCGAACATATATACACACACACACACATACAAAGAATTAGTATTATTCTTTTTTTATGGCGACAACGGCTACTACAAATTCTATACCGATTGCATTTGAAAATACACTCAATCGTACGTTTATTATTTTATTCGTTTAATCTTTTTTGTTTTTTTATTAATTGAATTTAGATTCTAATCAAACTAAAGAACAAATGTATGATGTACCTGTTAAATTTGCTAATGATTTATTTAGTACTGTAGGTATATTTAATTTAAATATCAAATAGCAAAAAAAAAAGCTTTTTTTTGTTTTTTATCTTTTAAGTTAATTAAAGAACAAATTAATAATTTCATAAATTTAAAACACATAAAAGAACTTAAATATACTGATGAAAATGTTATTCGTACAATAACTTATGAAATAACTGAAATATTAAAACAAATTATTTATCAACATATTAAAGATAATTATAAAGTAATTATTCAAGTTATAACTTATCCAAAAAAAATTGAAAAAAATATATTAATTATGAGTCAATGTTTATGGAATCATAGAACAGATGATGTACTTTCATTTGAAATTGAAACAGATTTATTAAAATTTTTTATTATTATTCATGGTGTTGTTGCATAAGATAAAACAAAGAGAGATCTTTTAGTATTTTGTTCCTCAGGAATAAAAAAAACAAAAAAACAAAAACTTACTTGAATATTTATTAATATATTATGTATTGTATCAAATATTTGTTCATTCATATCATATTCAGTCATTTTCCAACATATTAAATAAAGTGTACGACGAGTAAAAAAATATTGATAAATTGATTGAAATTCATTCTAAATAAGATTAAAAATTATAAAAGATTTTTTTTTTGTTTTATTTAAAAATTTATATTCATTTACCTGTCCACTAAAATCCCAAGTACGAAATGTAATTGGACCTAATATAGTACGAGGTGTTTTATCATATATCCATTCGGATATATCAAGAATTGGAAAATTACGAATTGTTGTTGTTGTGGATTTCTAGAAATAAAGTTATTATTTACATTCTCAAAGAAAGTATTGATAAGATGTCTATCACGATCTATAATCAATTGCTAGAACGTTAGTTCACATATTTATCCCTTATACTTCAACATTCTTTTAATACCAAGAGTTCGAAAAGTTCGATTAAACTTATATTGAATAGAGTACACCAACTGAATCCTCTATTAGAATTAGATTTTAGTAATGTTATGAAACTAGTACTAACGAAAATCGATTACATTCTGAAAGATCTACAGCAATTACTAAAGAAGAAGTCAAGGATATTTATGAAAATAAGCCATCGTATTAAAGTCATACAAAGTCAATGGTTCTACGAAGAAGACTTATAAGATCATGTTGACATGTATGTACTTTGCTAACAGACAGTAAGAATAACAACAATGTCTTGTCATCTGAATGGTTTCATTAATAAATATGATGTTTGATATTGAAGTAAAGAAAATTTTCATGTAGTCTCAATAATTCAAGGTTTACTGTGTAATGGTAACATTATTAAAAGAGAAAATTATCTTACAAGATTTCAATACTTCTTTCTTTCTTTTTCTTTCTATTCCGGAAGTCAGAAGATTACGTATAATGAACTTTATATTATTTCTATAAGATGAAACTTTGCTACACTTCAATCAATATAAGTACGTCAATTTCTGAACAACATCGATGTATTGAAAGAAATAGTTCAATGTTGATTGACAGATACCATGATCATTCGACTTTTTTTTTCTTATAAGCTCATAGAAAGATCAGATATTTGTTGAAGATGATCATTTTAAACATCAATTATAAACAAATTTATATGAAATATAATATTAAACAAAATTGTATATATATCTCATATAATTCGTTCTAACTTTGAAAAAAGATATTCATGTTATTGTTTTTTTTGTTCGAACGGTTGAGTTATCCTGTCAAGAATTTTTCTCACTAAATCAAATTCTTAGTAGATAAGCTGTTAAATCTTTAGTAAATATATCTATGCAATTGGATTTAACATTATGTTAAGAAAAAAAAAAAATAATATACTACGAAATAAGTCATAGAACATGTTCACATGATCTTTTACGATATAGAGTTTATTTAAAATTAAGAATTCTTTAAATATATTTATTAAATTGAACATAAACTATCGTCTGAAATTATTTTTTTTTAACATATTAAAAATCTTCTATCAAAGTTTTTTTTTTTCACTTACTTTTCGTTGAATTTGTTGCATAGTTATATTATTATTATTAAAACTTTCACGTTTAAATGCTTGTAAAAGTGATGTTTTACCTGTTTGTTCACTACCAAGTAGCATTAATCTCATTCGATTATATATTTTTGTACTAAATATTAACGCAAAAAAAAGCATACTAACAAAAAAAGATCTTAATTAAAAATCTTACTCATCACATAAACTTTTCATATATGCAATAATTTCTACTGTTCGATAATTATTTGTAATAAACGAAGATAATGGTTCTTTAGTTATATCAATCATTTCTGTTGATTGTGTACCAAGCATTTTTTTTTCTACTAAATAATTATCTAGAATAAAAATTATCTATAATTATTAAAGATGTATATTTTACAAATGATGTTATTATTTATTTACAATAAATTATGAGACAAAAAAAAAAACAACAAAATAGCATCAAATGTTTTTTTTGTGTTTAATTTGATGACAAGAAATCAATTAAAAAGTAAATCTTATTTAAATAGAAAATATACTTATCACAATAAGTAAAATTTCTTTTAGAATTATTAGTGATATGTTAAAATATAAAAGAATAAATATGTACAATTGATCTTATAGTTTAAAATTAAAAAACAAAAAAGAATTTTTATCACGAAATAATATAATTTAATTTAATATTTAATAATGTCTAGATTAGATTTTTATTTCATTCCTATCAAAATTTTAAAACATTGAACTATTCATTATGATTTTAAAAAATATATTTTTTTTTTCTTCTATGCAATATCTTTAATCATAAAACTTTTTTTTGTTTTATTTTTTAATTGTCTGTCCACAACCATGAAGATCAAGATTCCATAATTTTTGCATTGAACCAATTGATAATGGAATCTAAAATGCAAGAAAAAAAAAAAAATTTTTTTTTAAACTAATATGATAAAAAAATATTAATATTTACCTCTTTTAAATGTGAATTATCACGTAATATTAACGTACCAAGATTATCTAATAAAGAAATACTTGATGGAATCGAAACAAGTTCATTTTGACTTAAATTAAGACGTGTTATTGCTGGAAATAATAAAGATGAACGTAATACTGTTATATCCATATCTCGAGAAGGTTTTGCTATCGACTAGAAATAATCATATTAAGATTAATTAAAAAAAAAGCTGTTAATACAACCCCAACGGAATTAAAATATGAAACACAACATAGTTAATGTTGTTAATAGGAGTCGACAAGCTCAGCTCAGTTCCGCTTAGAGGAACTGTTCGAGCAGCTCTTTTGAGCTGTGCTCCCAAAACAGAACACTTTTGTTCTGTTATGGGAATTATTTCCCAAAAACAGAACAAAAGTGTTCTGTTTTGGGAACAGCTCAAACGAACCGGTTCACCAGTTCAGCTCAAAAGAGCTGTTTGAACAGTTCCTCTGAGCGGAGCTTGCCGACCCCTAGTTGCTAATCATTGATTTAAACAGGAATACCCGTAGGAGACATCGATCTGTAAGAATCTCTTAGAAACGTCTGTAAAGGTTAGGCATGCACGATAATTTCTTTTTTGAGAAGTTTTGATCGTAGTTGCGGTGAATCTAGTGTGTTTTTTGTCCTGCATATGCCTATGGGAGTGGGATCCATATATATTTAAATCTTTCTTCTAAATTGTGTTTTCTAAGACAAGACAACAAAAGGATAATAAAAAAAATTTTCTTACTAATAATGTTAATTCATTAATTTTATTATCACTTAAATTGAGATCATGTAAAAATTCAAGTTTTGTATGACGTCGATGAATACAATATTGATCTTGTTGATCAGATTTTGATATTGAATTTAATCCCATTGTTAAATTTGTTGATATAAGAACTTTATGACGAGATACTGAACGACTTCGACGTCTTTTATTAATATCAATTTGTGTATTTGATTCTTTTAATTCAGGACGATAACAAATATTTTCTATTGTTGTATCATATTGACGATTTTTTCTATAGGATTTTTCTCGTCGAGATAATGTTTCAATTGAAATATTATGTTGAAGTTGATTAAATGATAAATCAAGCATTTTTAAACGTGATGGATATGATGATATATTTGATGGTTCAGTAAGAAGATTATGTGAAAGATTTAATGATGTTAAATATGGTACAAGACAACAAAGCATTGGTGGAAGTATTTCAAAATGATTATAAGATAAATTTAAATTATTTAAACGACTTATTGTTGATATAGAAGAAGATGATGAAGATTTTGTATTTAATCCTGGTTGTTGATCATCATCAGTTGATTTTGCTATATGATTTTGCCAAAGACATAAACGTTTAACTGGACTATATAATGATGGAGATGATATTGAATTATCATAATTTATTTTTAATTTTGATCGTCGTTCAAATTCATCATCATCATCAGGTGATGGAGGATTATTATTATTTGTTGTTATTTCAGTAAATGTTGTTGAACGAGGTGGAATTGATGATGGAAGAGAAAATAAGGATAAATTAGATGTTGTTATTGATGATGATAATGGTGGAGATTTTGTTTCATTGATATTTAATTTTGTTGGTGGATTTGGAGGAATTTGAGAACGAAATTCACTAGTTGTTCGATTTTGATTATTTGAATGTCGAGCTACAAAAATAAAAAATAAAAAAACACAGATTGTTTTCGATGAATTTATAATTTTTACATACATGTCATATGACGTCCTGATTTTTCGGCATTATTAACGATGGTAACAGTTGGTGCTGGTAATTCTTTTAATGAATTATTAGCAACATTAAGATCAGTTAACATTGGTGCTGACCACATTTCAACAGGTAAATATTGAAGTTGATTATGAGCTAAAAATTTTCAGAATTAAATTATTCAATTGATTAATCAAATTTTATAGGATTTTTTTTTTTTTATTTTAGATGTCTAATAAAAATGATAAATAAACTATACGAATGATTTATATTTTGAAATCATTATCTTGTTCAATCAATAAAAATTTAAATCATAATCTATATATATATATACCTGCATAAGCTCTTTGTAATGAACGAAGTTGAAACATAGCTGATGGTAAAAAAGTTAAAGCATTATGTGAAACATCTAATTCAATTAATTGATGACATAACCAAACATTATTATCATTTGGTAATTCACCTAATTGATTATTTGATATATTTAATATTCTTAATGAATACATTTGAAAAAGAAATGCTGGTAAATATTCTAATGAATTATCTGATAAATCAATACGTGTTATACAATGAAAAAGTAAATGACGATTTGTTATTGTTATATCTGATAATTGTGTAAAAGAATCTTTATTAACAAATATTGATGCTTGTATAAACCATAATGGATCAAGAATTTTTAATGGACCATAATGATGCCATTGTATACCAACTGGTATTGATGGAATAGATGTTGATGATGGTATATGATTTGTTGTTGTTGATGATAATAATGAACGTGTTGTAAAATGTGTTTTAATATGTTCAAAACTAGTTGTTAATATTTGATAACGTTTATTTGAACGTCTTTTTAATATAGGTTCAATAGAATAATTTGATTCTGATATATTATTATTATTATCTTTTTTTTCATCATTTATATTAATCCAAATTTTAGTTAAATCAATATTTAACCAAAATTTTTCATCAAATGTATATAAAATATTTGTTGTTAATTGTCGTTTAGTTAATTTAAATTCATTATCTTGTAAAGCACGATATTTAAGTAAATGTCCAATAAGATATGATTGTTTACATGAATTAAATGCAAGAAATTCTTTATCATTTGCATGAGAATTCATAAGATAATTAATAAGTTGAACATTATTAAGACGACATGCACATGATAATGCTGTTGAACGTGTTATAAAACATTGTTCATTATTTAATATTCGACTAGAAATTTCTTCATATGATAAATTAACATTAGCACCATTTGAAATAAGTAAATGAACTAATTTAAAATTTTGTTGTTCAATTGCTTCATGTAAAGCTGTTCGACCATTATTTGAATAAACATCAAGATTAAATGGACAAAATAATGTATTTGTTTTTTGAAGTGTTGCATTAAATTCTGATAAAGTTACTATAGAATCTATTTTATAATTAAATATATAATTAATAAAACAATATTTTTTTTTTTTTGAATTTTAATAATTACTTTCAGAAGTAAAATAACTATGTGTTAATCGACGTTTAAATAATTCAACTTCTTGTGGAGTTAAAGCATAAACACGAAATGAAAGAAGATATTCAACAACATCAATATATCCACCAAGAACAGATAAATATAAACTTGTTTGTTCATTTAAATCTTGTGCTTAAATTAACAAAAATAAGAAGATTATAAAATATTGACAATGAAAAAAAAACAAAAGTCTATTGAAATAAATTTTATTAGTACGTAACATGCAACTGTAGTAATACACTATTGTCTTACGAGAGAACCTCTTCAAGTGTTAATCGCCGATCGAGCTCATATTTTGCCCATAAGTAAGACTCGATGAGATTAGTCGAGGCTCGAAAAGATTCGTCCTTATATACTGTCCTACCGGAGTTACAATCGTTTTACTACTTTTTCGACCTCTGGCAATGGTATTTATAGAGAAGCCCAACAATGGAATTTTGTCTATAAACAGGTTTCATGGTCACTAGAATGTTCTAAAAGTTTCAGCTAAAATGAACGTTTCCTTCTCGAAATATTGAGTTTTCAAGAAGCTCAATGTTTTGACTTTTGTCTGATCATTTCTTGAAAATTCAATATTTTGAGAAAGAAACGTTCATTTTAGCTAAAACTTTTAGGACATTCTAATGACTATGAGACCTGTTTATGAAGGAAATTCCATTGTTGAGCTCTCCTATAAATACCATTGCCTGACGTCGAAAAACTAGTTAAACGATCGTAATTCCGAAAGAAAAGCGTATGAGGACGAATCTTTCCGAGCTTCTACTAATCTCGTCGAGTCTCACTTATAGACAAAGTATGAGTTCGATCGGCGATTAAAACTTGGAGAGATTCCCTCGTTAGTCAGAAAATTGTTGATAACATTTAATTAAAATAAAAGTAATTCGCAGACGAGAAATCAAGCTACACTATACCTAATAGGAAGATTTTCCCCGCACTCTTTCTTTAAATTTTTATAAAACTTTCATTGTATATATATCATCATCATTCAAAAAAAAACAACCTTGTGCTCAAGTCATAGTATTCTATTACATCATTCTTATGATAAGATTAAATATTTAAAAATGTAAATCGACAATTGAAATATTCTATCTTTCGAAATTCAATCCTATACATCAATATACATTAAAATAAACATCACACAATGTAACAAAAAAAAAAAAACGAAATTCATTTAATCAATGAACAAGTATCAAATTCTTAATCTAATCAAATCCTATAAACTTCTAACATAATAGAAATAAGTTTATTCTATCGATTAAATCTTCAAGTAAAATTTGATAAGATTAAAGAATAAATGAAAAAAAAAATCCTATACATACCATTGAGATTAAAGGGAAAAACATATGATCGTTGTAAACGATCAACATAAATATTACATGATGAAAATGGATAATTTGGATAAGTTAATAAAAGCTGTACAATAGATAGATGACCTTGTGAACAAGCAGCAGCAAATGGAAGAATTTGTTCAAGTGTTGCTACAGAAACTAAATGTGGAAAATGCTAAGAAAAACAAAATATTAATTTATAAAAACAAACAAATATATCATCTTACAGTTAGAAGCATTTGAACAATATCAAGATTTCCAATACGACAAGCTATATATAGTGGAGAATACGATGTTTGACGATGAGGTTTTGCTATTGCTCCATGTTTTAATAATAATTTTACTAAATCAACATTACCTGTTCGACAAGCTCTATATATTAAAAAGTCAACAGATAATCTTTGTTTTTATTCTTTGAAAATATCAATACCTATATAAAAAATTTAATGTATCACTTCCATTTGGACTTGAATTTAATACTGCTTTAGCTTGTGCACCCAAATGAGCAAGACATTCTTCTGCTTTAATTACATCACCATCAAAACAAGCATCAAGTAATTCTAAAGGAAAATTTTTTATTTATAAATTTTCTTTTTTTTTGTTTGTTTATTTAATTACTCTTTTCTGTTTCTTGTCGAACTTGTTGTCGAAGTTCAATTTCATTTTGTATCATTTCAACTGAATCAACTTTACGATTTTTTTGTGCTAATGATAATGCTGTATGACCATATTTATCTCGTATTGTTACATCAGCTTTATGAAATAATAATAATGCTAAGATTTTTTCATTACCAACTTCAGCAATTATATGTAAAGGTGTCTAAAGAAATTATTGATATTAGATTCAAATATATTGGGAAAAAAAGAAAATTTAAATACACAAACAAACACAAAAAGAAAAAGAAGTTTCTATTTTAATTTCTATCTATTTTGATAAAGTTTTTCGTGTTGTTTTATGAACTCGTATAGGTTTTTGAAGTTTTTCTAATGTTTGTTTAACTTTTTTTAATAATGGATATTTTCCTTGTCCACAAAAACTACCATGAAAATCATCTAAATCAAGTGTCCATATCATTGCACCAGATAGACGTTGTTTAGCAATAAAATGACATTTTTTTTCTATAGATTTTTCATTATCATAACCAATCCATTGATCATTTTTATATGCAAATGGTACTTCTTGTTCTTTATCATAATCAGTATGCCATGTATGTTTTTTTATTAAATCACATATTTCATAATATGATAAAAATCCACTACTATTTGTATAAATACCAGGTAAACCAGGACCTTTTGATGGTGCATATGGTTTTATATTAGGATTATTTATTTGTTGTAATTGAAATGTTCGACCATAGAAACCAAGACCAAGAACAAGTTTTGATGGTGGACAACCACCATCAATCCATGTATTAACTGTTGCTTGTTGATTTAAATATCGTTGATTACCTATTTCAGTTGAACGTGGATATAAAGGACTATTAAAACCTATATGAGTATTCCAATTACCTAAAAAAAATGGCTTTATTCGATCTAATAAAATACACTATTGGACAAAATTAGACGAGTAAAGTATTTTTGACTTTTTTTTTTCTACTAAGTCACACATGTATCTCAAATTCAAATAGTGATTTGAATAACCAATGAAGTTTTCTATTTGATGCAGTTTGTATCATATATTGATAGACGGATTAAGAGAGAAAAGATCATCAAATGTTGTGGTTTTATAACCTTCTCTCTCTTACGAAAAAACGTGTCTAAATCTCAAATTACGTTTAAGTCACAACTATGTGTATCATGTAGGATCTAATGAGTTATGAATACACCTTGAGAAAAGTATGGACTTATAGATTATTATTGTCGAGACATTGTCTATTTTTAATAGAATATTGTGATTTCACAAAACTGAGTTTTGACTAGATATAGTCATTAACAAGAATAGTTGATTGTACACATTTCAAATCTTTTCACTATTTCTCACCTAAGATATGACCATGGTAAAAACATGTTTTTCACATCGATCATATATATATATAACAGCCGATTCCGAGTTTCAATTTGATACTTAGCAACATTTCCTTATTAGTTCGCCTATAAAAATATACTGTAGAATATATTTGATAGAGAATCTTCATTGATTATTCGGATTTGAGATAGATGTATGACATAGTAGGAAAATAATAAAAAATTTGTCACTCTTATGATTTTGTCTAGTAGTATATATATATTTGCATAAACGAACCATGATAATCATAAGCCATTAGATTAATAAAATCAAGAAATGGTGAAATTTCTTTAATATTATAACTTATTTCTATTTTTGGTCGATATGCAGCAACAGCTGCTGTTAATAAAAGACGTGTACGATTTTTTAATAAAGCTTCTTTTTGAAAAGCTAATCGATAATCTCGAATAAGTAATGAAAATATTCGACGATCTTTATCTATTTCAGGATATTCCCAATCAATATCTAAACCATCAAATTTATATTTTCGTAAATATTTTATTGTATTTCGTATAAATTCTTGTCGTATTTTATTTGTTTGAAATATATAACGAAATTTAGTTGAATTTACTGTTGCACCACCTAATGATAATAAAGTTTTCAAACGATGATTTTTTATTTTTAATAAATTGAATTGTTCATACATGCTCATTGATGATAATGATTTTATTGAATTATTAATTTTAATTGGTTTTATATCATTTATTTCAAATGGACTTGGACTTCGAAATTTTATATTAATATTTGCAAATGCATAATAAATATGTGTACATAGTGACGGATCAATATATGATGGAATAAAATATCCATGACCTTGTCGATATTGTGACCAATTAGTAAAATAACAACCAACAACAAATTGTTGGCTATGTATTGTATAAATAAATACAATAATTAATAGTAAGCAATAGACTATAAACGATTTCATTTGTTCATATAAGAATATGTTTTTGATTTCTTTTTTCTTTTATCTTAATCTATTCTCTCTCTCTCTCTCTCTCGTTTGTTTTCATTTGATCTGACTAAATAACAGACAACTGTTTAAATAAAGAATAAAAATATCTACGATCATTGTCTAATGACAATAACAAATATTGATCATAGAAAAATAAAAGAAATGAAGAAGGATTAAATCTTTATGTTTTGTTTTGTTTTTTTGTTTATAATAATAAATTCTATATTCTTACTTTATAATCATAATGTTCACCTGTTTGTACATTTAAATCAGCACCATGATCAATAAGTACCATTATAAATTCTAATGATGAATCAAGAACTCTAGTATCATTTTGAAGAGTTGCTTGTGCTGCTGATAAACATGCTGTATGTAATGGTGTACAACCAAAACGATCAGTTGCATCAATATTATTGATTTCATCACCTATTAGAAGATCCTATGATTAAAATGAATAATCTATTAAAAATAATATATTTATATTTGAAATTTTTCTATTACTTTAAGTAGATCAACATTTAAATAAAGTGCAGCTTGATGAAGAAGTTTGCCTGGATAATTATCGTCATCATCATCGTTATGCATTTTGAAAACATATGATATTTTATTACATAAGTTATGTCAAGGACAAAAAAAGTTTTCTTTTTTTTTTTTTGTTATTAATAAAATATTTCAAATAAATAATACATTTAAATTGTTTGATCTAATTTTTGAAATAAAATTTTAGTTAGGAAAAACAAATTCTATGAAATAGTTATAGAATATATTCTAACATATATAATACATAATCAGTTGATTCTATTGTCATTTTTTTTTATTTGCATTTGTTTTAACCAATACAATTCAAGTAGAGACCTCTGTTCAGATGATTACAAAGAAAGTGATTGGCGAAAATGGTCAAGAGAACACTTGTGAAACCATATTAACATTGTCAAGAAGTCATGTTATTTATTTGTTTTCATATTAAAAACTAATTTTTCGATAATTAGATCCGATGACATGATGTAATTAACGTTGACGTGGAAAACCAACAAAAAAAAAAAAAAAAAAAAAATAGAAATTCTCAGAAGAATTCGAAATAAATTCATCAATTGTGTTATTTTGAATGTTCTTGTCAACATTTAAGCATACATTGTGTGTTTCTTAAAATGTGCAATTACTTTGAATAATCTGAGTACATTCTCTCATACTTTAAAATTAATTACTTTAATTGAAATTAAGGAAAAAATAGCGAAGATTTCAATCCTGACTTTTGAAATATATTTCGATCATGCAAAACTCACAAGAAAATAAAATCATTGAAATATTATTTAAGATGATATTGTAAAACTAGAACTCGAGATTGCTACAAGTAGATAGTCTTCACGATAGTAAACAATGAAATAGTCTTGTTTCCAGTAGATTTTATTTTAGCCGTTAGTAACAGTCAATGCTTATTTGAAGTCAAAGACAAAACATGTTAGAATTATTCATGGAATGAATCATTCGTGGTTGCTTATCAACAAAAAAATGATTAAATATGTTTATCAGTAACCAACAAGCTATTCGCTTAACAATAAATTTACATTTGTTAGTCATGTAGTTTTTAAAGTTTCTCGAAGGTTCATGAAATCTCAAAATTTAATAAAGTTTAATAAAAATTTTCTGAAGTTATTTAAAGTCTATTGTTTTTTTTCTTTGATTGATATAAAAAGAAAAAGTGTCTCTATTTTTAATCGAAGATGAAATAAATCTTGCTACGAAGTACTTCACTTTTGTTTTTTTTTTTGAATAATATAATATCGAAAAAGGTATAATTATGTATTTGTTAAAATGATAAACTACATTTTTAACAGTTATCAAAAGTGACAGCTTATAAGCATCTCCAATACTAATTGAAAGTGACTACTATTACAACATATGATTATAAATCAAGGATCAATTCAAATGTGAGAAAGAGAATCATTGGTTATGTCATAAAATGTATATATATGTTCTTTCACATACAGTGAACAATAGTCTTGACATGTTGTCTATGCGAATAGGTCAAATATATATGAATAGTAGACTCATTTTTTGGACAATAACAACACAACGATGTGCTGAAGAAAAATTTTTGTTTTGCATAGACGAAAATGCGATAAAGAAAAAAGAGATGATTTGTTTGTTCTATCTCTATCTTATTTTTATTCGATTACATAGACATAAGAATGAGAATGTTTTTGACTACCACATATTGTTTCATTATCGACTTCTATATATATAGATGTGTTTCTTTTTGTTGTTGTTTATATATATGATTCATCTACCTATATGCCCTTTGCCTCGTCATAAAACATACATATGTGATAATAGAACCAAATAAATTTCAATGATTAACATATTCTGTTGTCAAGAATAATAGCGTGAGAGTGAGTGGTGCAGCTGTTTCGTAATCGGCCTTTTTTTTTCTTCCTCGGGTACCGTTGACTAATACTACAAATTTAAATATATATATATATATAATAGATTTCTTTTTCATTACTCATTCATTCAATAATGGGTAAAGTTTTCTCGAAAATTCTGAAAAAATTATCTGCCGATGGACCTAAACGTATTCTTATGCTTGGCCTGGATAATGCAGGTAAAACAACAATACTCTATCGAATGAAACGTACAGAAGATTTTAATACAGTACCAACAATTGGTATGTTGAATGAAGTTTATCTTTGAACAAAAAGGAAAAGTTTTTTTTTTTCTAAATATAAAGGTTTTAATGTTGAGACAATATCTCCTTGTCGTGGAATATCTTTAACAGTTTGGGATGTTGGTGGTCAAGATCATTTACGAACATTATGGCATCATTATTTTGATAATGTTGATGGACTTGTTTTTGTTATTGACTCAACTGATCGTCGTCGTATTCATTTTTCAAAAGCTGAATTAATAGGAATCTATCAACATGATTCAATGAAAAATGTTCCACTTGTTGTTATTGCTAATAAACAAGATAGTAAAGAAGCATTATCTGCTGATATTATAGCAGAAAAACTTGATTTAATTCATTGGTCAAATGAATCATATCATATTATTCCATGTTGTGCATTAACAGGAGATGGTTTAACTGATGCATTTACAATTTTAGCAAAAATGATAAAAAAACAAGATAAAAATCGTCGATTAGAAATGTCTTAAGATATTTATTTGTGAAGTCTTTTGTTTTTTTTTGCTTTATTATATGTCAGATCAATATAAGAAAACGGTGATTCTAGTTCATAATGTATAATTTTCTTTTACTATTTTTTGTATAAAAATTATATATATATATAAATCAATAAAATTTTTATTATGTATTAATAATAATACTATTTCAATTTATGAAACTCTAGGGGTGTATGTTAACAAAGGTATAGAATGAACTTTTGCAAGCTGTCACAAAACAATATTAATATAGAATGCATTTGACAGCTGAAGTTAATATTGTTAGAGCATATTTATCATAGTTGACACTCAATGTGTATATGAATATGATTGAACGATGTTTTTAATGAAAAAGTGAGATTGATATAAAACAAAAGACAAAACATAGCCTTATGTTTATATGACAATGATTTTGATAAGTCTATTTTGGAAGAATATAGGTGTCGATAAAAGAAAATCCATAGTAGCAAGCATCCTGCCATCTACATCCAGTTTACAGTCAAAATAGCAAAATTTCTGAGTCTGATGAAATTATCAAGTGCCCCTGTGATAATGATTTGTTAGTGCGTGTGTGTGTGTGTGTTTTTTCTGACTGAATATTTCAGTTTTTACATAAATATTTCTTTCTCTGTTACTTTTTCTTTACCGAGAGAATGTATGAATTTGCATCGGATTGAGCAGTTCAATGCACTTAAATGTGAATTATCCGATGACTAATCGTGCTTACTAATGAAAGAAAGAAAGTTGGTCTAATTTCACTGTTGTATAATGCATATAGTGTCCTTTCAGTAGGACTAACATATGGAAACGAGATGTTCTGAAAAGATCGAACATTTCACATCCGTGGATCAAAGCAATTTTATCTGTTTCATCACCAAAAACCATAGTCATCGAATAGTCGAGATTTAAATACATTGAATTAGTATTGAAATGTAGAGAAAAAGTAACATGGAGAGAAATTTTGATGCAAAAATCATTAAATTATTGAGAGGTCAATTTTCTCTAAGATACCTAATATGAAGATTATCATTTTTCGCAAACCGTCACTTTTTTTTCGACTTGAATCATGATGATTCATAATTTTCATCGCATATCAATTGAAGACAAACTAGAAGATTGACAAATTGTGAAATACAAAACCATACATAGAGTAACAATGTCAGCAGCTTCGAAAGCAATAGTGGTATATAATATTTCATGAAATTATTAGTATTCGAAGTATAGTGAATCATGATTTCGTATGGAAGTATCTACGATTACCGATAGTTTGTATTAATTCATATAGAATCCAATTTTTCATAGTCGCCAATAGGAATATTAATGTAACGCCACAATCGAATTTATACCATTTTCTTCGGAGAGACATTTGCCTCATATTACTGTGTTAGTAGCAATTTAATCACTAATATCATCGATACTAAAGAATTATTTTTCATGTGAAATTTTAATAGACATCAGTAATTATTTTGAATACTCAGGTCAAAAGTGTGCCATCGAATTCTGTCGGAATCCGATTGAATCTTAAATAATTTCCATAATTTCCGACGTATTCCAATTATCAAATACATGATTTCAACACTCGATGTCGTGATAAATAGATATCAAATATTTTCTCTCTTAGTAGCGCATCCTTATAGTATCGATTCAACCAAAAAGGAATTAACCATTTTATAATCTGTTGACTTTATAAATGTATAGACTAATGATCTACCGTCTCTTTTCATTACGGTATGCTATTCTAATTCATACTCATGTATTTTGTCTGAGACAGTAAAGTTATTTAGCAATAATTCTCTTCAACTATTCATTGATTACAAGACAAGTATCTTGTCTTTATCCATTGTGGTTTCAAGTGAGATTCGATAATTTTTCATCTTACTTATTTTACAACTATTCTCTTAATTAGCTCAGAATAGCAGTACCTATATTCTTAGGTGCACAGCATTATAACACACTATTAGCAGATTGATACATATATATATATGTTTCAGACAAAACTGAAATTCTAACATATATTAGTCATTTTTTAGTAGCATTAGAATTTGATTAGAAATGTTAATTAAAAATTGAAAAAATTTGGCATCCAAACAGACTAACAATTTTCTTTTTGTTTTACAAGGTCTTTCATTTAGTTATCCTGATAGTTGTCGCCTATTTCATGAAACCAACTGACTAAGTCAGTCTACTTTCTTTTTTGCTCGATGACTTATGCCCATACTTTTCCAGCAACATGTGAGAAAAATGAAGAAACTTAGTTTAATTTACTTTTCTGTTTCTTCATAGTTCTTGCGCACTTTAGAAAAGATATATAATCAGAAAAATACTATTAGATTTTCTTCTCTTTATTGAGTTATTCTGTTAGTTGTGGCATAATTTATAAGGGAATAAGAGGCAGAAAACTCACTTTTCTTTTCTTTTTCTCATTT